CCTGCACTCTGAGAGCAAAGTGCTCTGTTTGGATGATAAGGCTCTACGAGGTCTTTATGATACAATGGAGCCTTGTTATTAAGGGCTTTGTATGTTAGGAGAAGGATTTTAAATTCTATTCTGAATTTTACAGGGAGCCAGTGGAGAGAAGCTAATATGGGAGAGATATGATCTCTCTTGCTAGTTCCTGTCAGTACTCTGGCTGCAGCATTTTGGATTAACTGGAGGCTTTTTAGGGAATTATTGGGATATCCTGATAGTAAAGAGTAGTAGTCCAGCCTGGAAGTAACAAATGCATGGACCAGTTTTTCAGCATCACTTTGAGAAAGGATGCTCCTGATTTTTGCAATATTGCGCAGTTGAAAGAAGGCAGTTCTAGAGACTTGGTTTATGTGTGACTTAAAGGACATATTCTGGTCGAAAATGACTCCAAGGTTACTCACAGTAGTACTGGAGGCAAGAGCTATGTCATCTAAAGTAACTATATGATTAGACAGCAGATTTCTAAGGTTTTCAGGCCCAAGCACAATGACTTCAGTTTTGTCAGAGTTTAGAAGTAAGACGTTGCAGGGCATCCTGGCCTGTCTTTAAGGCCATGTCTTTGAGACATGCTTGAAGTTTGACTAGTTGATCTGATTCATTTGGCTTCATAGACAAATATAACTGAGTATCATATGTGTAGCAATGGAAATTTATGCTGTGCCTCCTGATAATATTGCCTAAGGGAGCATGTATAAAGTGAAGGGAATTGGATCTAACACAGAGCCCTGTGGAATGCTGTGACTAACTTCAGTTTGTATGGAAGATTCATCATTAACATGAACAAATTGAAATCTTTCTGATAAATAAGGTTTGAACCAACTTAGTGCAGTTTCTTTAATCCCAATAACATGTTCAAGTCTCTGCAGCAAGATGCTGTGATCAAAAGCAGCACTGAGATCTAAGAGGACAAGTATGGAGACAAGTCCTTGATCTGAGGCTAGGAGAAGATCATTGTTGACTTTCACCAATGCAGTTTCCATACTATAAAGGACTCTAAAACCTGACTGAAAATCCTCAAACAAATCATTCTTGTGCAAGTGGTCACGTAACTGCTTAGCAACAGCTTTGTGAATGATCATTGGTGTAATCCCGCTCATATCCATGTCAAGGATCGGTTATGTAGTCCGAATGTGGAACTACTAGTAGTCGGGCTTCGTCCCTATTACCTGCCAAGAGAGTTCTCATCCGTTATTGCAATCACCTGCTATGTGCCACCATCAGCTGTTGCCGAGGTTGCTGTTGACACTATTTGTACAACAATATCATGTTTGCAGTCACAATACCCAAACGCCTTTATGGTGATTAATGGGGATTTTAACCATTTTAAGATGGACATAATACTGACTGAGTTTACCCAGTATGTGGATTGCTTCACTCGGGAGAATAAAATTTTGGACTTACTGTATGCAAATTCACAGGATGTGAAACTGACAAAATGTAAAAAGATTACATAACATATCAAAAATGTGAATAAGAATTAAGGTTTAATTAATTTTAACAACTGGCTGGTAGTAAAGGAAGAAGATGACATTTTGCTTTTTGTTAGCAACTAACTGAAGATTACAGCTTTAAATATTTTATTTTGCCAGTTACAGGAAAAGTAAGAGTAAAATTTTGGATCCATGTATTTAGGTTTTTCGAGAAAAATTATCTTACACATTTTGTCTGTTTGTTGTTCCATGTAATGCCATTTGTTGATAATCTGCACATTTGTGATCCTACTAAACTTTATTCCAAAACTATAAGTAATCACCACTTAAAATGTCTAATTCATCCATTTCATTAGGCTTATCAAATTATCATGACTAGTCTTCTATAGTCATGTCTTCACTTCAGGAAAAAAAAAGGAGCTGCACAAAGAGGAGGGTTTTGTAACACTCACCTAAACTGATGGACCTAAACTGATTCTTCAAAGTGATTTGTGGGAATATGCTGCTTTCCCCAGTTTTCTCACAGGAGTGGCTCAGACCGTTCTTATCAGTCATGTGCACAGATGGTCTGCCTTTCCACATTGACCATCTGCTCTAATGGGTTGCAAGTATTATATTTAATTTGACAAGTGAAACGTGTGTGAAACAACTCTATGCTCTCCATTCAGGATCATGTATCGTCATTCAGGATCATGTATCGTCTAGTTTCCTCTAATGCTATTTACCGATGACCAGGATGTTGTTCAGTTGCTCCACACCGTCAATCTTTGACAGAAGCTGGTTCACCACGGTGTCGTGCACTCCTGCGCTGCTGGTAGCCGTGCCTTTCTGCTTGCAGATGGCGTCCAGCTCATCAAAGATGATAATGTGGAGGCCGCTGTTGGCTCCCAGCTTTAGACAGGTCAAGTTTTATGTTTATAAATTCTGTTTGGTTTTTCAAACTGAGCACAAAGAAAACTCCAGTCAGCTTTTCTCACCCTCTTCTGCTCCTCCTCTGCGTCGGCGAACAGTTTGCGGATGTTGGCCTCAGATTCTCCCCTGTATTTGTTGAGGATCTCGGGGCCGTTGACAACCTTTGGCTCGCGGGCGTTGAGCATTTTGCCAATCTGCCTGGCCATCAGTGTTTTACCACAACCTGGAGGTCCAAACAGCAAGATGCCCTTCACATGCTTACACCCTGGCAGCAGGGAAAGCAGATAGACAGGAGGAAGGAATAAATGGAAGAGGAAAAATAATATAGAAAATGAAGAGTGCAAGAAGAATTAGAAAACAGCTTTATATGCTCAGAGCCTGAGGGAAGAGAAACCAGTTTAATAAAATAAATGATAAAATCACTGAAACATTTTTGTTTATCTGTGCGTATGAGGTAGTTAGTGTGACCAACCCTGTTTCCCCCCCATTACATTTTGCTACCACCTTGAATACACAGTACACAAAATTACTTGCAAGGTCAAGTAATCTAAACAATGTTTAACTGATAAAATACAAGCTTGAACATTTAACATGAAAAGTACCTACACTGAATATTTGCCATTAAAATTTTAAATCTCACCCATTGGTTCCACAATGTCTGGAGGAAAGACTCGGGATGCGAATGCTCTGCGGAATATGGCACAGAACTCCTTGTCCAAACCTCCAATCCCAATCTTCTCAAAGTTCCAGTCTGGGTTGATGATTGTCTGTCGGGCCTTTGCCTTACCTTATAAATACAGGAGACAACCCCTTAACTAACAAATCCCAGAAATGGCTTAAATCTAGTTGATACATGAGGATAGAGTATAAAAGCAAATCTGCAAGTAAAACATTTTTTTTAGGACGTTTGTCATTTAGTGCTTCAAATCTAGATCCTGAGATCAGTTGGGAAATATCAGCCACCTGTAGGGAGAAAGAAGGAACATACCAACTAGTGTGAGGGAAGAATTCTCTGCCTTCTCAAAAATCACCTGACTGTTTGCAACCATCAGCCCGATGTCAATCTGTCAGAGAAAACACAGCTGTAATCGGCCTATACTCTATTCAGAAAAGTGACATATT